ACAGCTGTGCTCTTTATCCTGCATCTTATCAAAAAATAGAAAAGAGTATAAAAATGAATAGGTCATGTTGTAATAGTTTCATATTTATATGCATACATGCATGTATACTATGTACAAATACTATATAAAAACATGTGCTGAATTCTGCCTGATGCTGATGCTCCGCCTATGGGAACACTGCAAGGAGCCGTATGTCTTATCCTTCTGTGTTAGAGCAAAGCCATCATGAGCTCTCCTCACTAGCCGCAAGTGTGGGGTCCTTGTACTGAGTCAAAGCCCAACAGGTAGACAGAGTTCCAGCCTGGGGGGGAAGTGGAGGCAAGCAGAGGAAGTGAGACAGAGAAAGGTGTCCCTGGGGAGTTCACATTGACAGCTTCTGGAACACTCTGGGCTCTGCTCTTCCGGGAAGGTGTTCCCAATTGGAGTTAAACCAGCAGCGCCCTCTCCCATGTAAAGTTCTATCTCATCGTGTAATTTTTTTTGGCTAGACAACATAATTTTTAATACTATACAAAGAATACATATAAATAAGTGTAGGGGTGCCTGGGTGGCTCAGTCAGTTAAGTGTCTGCCTTTGGCTCAGGTTGTGATCCCAGGGCTTCAGCTCCCTGCCCAGCAGGGAGTTTGCTTCTCCTTCTCCCCCTGCCCGCCCCCCACTTGTGCTCTCTCGCTCAAATAAATAAAAAAAATCTTTAAAAAAGGGGAAAAAATTGGGGCGCCTGGGTGGTTCAGATGGTTAAGCGTCTGCCTTAGGCTCAGGTCATGATCTCAGGGTCCTAGGATTGAGTCCCGCATCGGGCTCCCTGCTCAGTGGGGAGCCTGCTTCTCCCTCTCCCTCTTGTTCCCCCTGCTTGTGCTCTCTCGCTCTGTCAAATAAATAAATAAAATCTTTAAAAATAAATAAATAATAAAAATAAAAGAGAAAAAAATAAATGTGTATATATAAATACATATTTTTCATATATATTCTTTTTTTTAAATGTTTCAAGTTTTTATTTAAATTCTAGTTAGTTAACATATAGTGTAATATTAGTTTCGGGAGTAGAATTTAGTGATTCATCAGTTACATACAACACCCAGTGCTCATCACAACAAGCACCCTCAATACCTACCACCTATTTAGCCCATTCCCTGCCCACTTTGCCTCCAGCAACCCCTCAGTTTGTTCTCCATAGTTAAGAGTCTGTTTCATGGTTTGCCTCCCTCTCCCCGCCCCTTTTTTGAAATGTGAATGAGCAAAATGAGAGATGGGCAAGATAGTTTTATAGGTGTCTTCCAGCTCTCACACTGAATGGGTCTATTTTACAATGAATAATTATTAGCTAGTTGGATGGTGGAAAAGAGGAGAGAAAATAACACGAAATTGTTATGTTGTTTAATTTTTGTAACTCTATAAGAAAAGTATCATTAGCCCCATTTTAAACATTGAGAAACTGAAGCTCAGAAAACTTACCTAACTTGCCCAAGATCATAGAGTAAAGAAATGGCAGAACCATATTCTAAATCCAGGTTCGTTTTAATTCTGATATCATTTCCCCTATAGCATACTCATTATCTGAAATTTTGTATTCTCTAAGTAACTACTAATTTAATATATGCATATACGATCAACATAACACATATAACTCCTTAGCACTTTTTATGAACTGGATTACTAGTGTTTGCAAAAGAAAAGATAAATAGGTTTTGGTTTTGGTTTTTGCTCTCAGGGGTGCCTATCTCTACTCCCCCCAAAAAAAAGCCTTTGGCTAAAGAAGATCGTTGCAAAAGCGAAATGATTTGTTTTCTTCAAATCCCAGCAATATGCCAGAGAATGTCCAAAATTTACAAAAAGTAGGAACTGTACTGCCTTGCACTCAACATCTATAGAGAAAAGGTGCTAGAGGAGACACATGTAAAAAATGGATAAGGATTGAGTTAAATCCTCCCAGAGAGGCTTACCATTCATCTGGGAAGATGGGCAGTTTCTGAACCAGTGAGTGGGAAAGAAAACTCAAGTATTTGGTTCATTCACACTTCAAAACTCTCAAAGAGTACATGGCTGATGCAGTTCCCCAGGTGCAACACTCACCTTATTACACACCCCCATGGGTAGCTTGTAGAGGGTACTTATGAGCTTCATCACAATTAAACTCTCTACACCCAAAGGACACAGAGAAACAGTAGCTTATATAAAGAGGTAGGAGATGGGCTTCTAATTGGCCTTAAATTAAGTGGTAAAGAAGAGGATAATGAAGACAGAGGCTTTAAAAAAGGTAACTAGTCAAAAGTAGAAACTTGCTGAAATGGCAAATATTCTCCTTATACTGACTATATTTTCCTGTTACTAATCACTTTTTAAAAATAGCAGCAAGTTCTAAGTGAGCAAAAGAGTGGTGGAGAAAAGCACAAGCCACTCCAAAGTTCTGAATATGTGCTCCTTATGGCCAATCAACATGACAGCCACAGAGTCAATCTAATTAGTGACAAGAAGAATTAATTCAGAAGAAAGGAGGGAAAACTTGAACCACTTATTCTTGCTCCGGAAGCCAACTGGACGCGTAGAGGACAGAGATTATCTTTTCTCTTCAAGGTGTGCTCTCTGATGTTCTGACAGTTCTGTCTAGAATAAGAGCTCTGTAGATTGCCTTCCTTCCGTGATGACTGCCATTCGTTCCATTCTTCTCACGCTCAACCGAGGAGATTATATTTTTATAAAATAGAGGAAGATCCCTACTACCTTGCTTATTATACATATGCAACATTAATAATTTCCTTGGAACTAATATTAGGGAGGCTAATCCCATCCTCCCATTCTGAGCTTCTTGAAGACGATTTACAGCCAGATTAGTGGACTGATAGGACATGGGGTTGACCCAACATGGCGACTCTTTGGACTCTCAGTAATAAAATGATTAACACTGGGCACCTGGGTGGCTCAGTTGGTTAAGCGACTGCCTTCGGCTCAGGTCATGATCCTGGAGTCCTGGGATCGAGTCCCGCATCAGGCTCCCTGCTCGGCGGGGAGTCCGCTTCTCCCTCTGATCCTCCCCCTCTCATGCTCTCTGTCTCCCATTCTCTCTCTCAGATAAATAAATAAAAAATCTTTAAAAAAAAAAAAGAAAAGAATAAAATGATTAACACTAATGTTGTTATGCACACTGATTAACCCTTACTCTTAGCTGTGAAGACAACTTCAAGAAATATAAAATATACAGTAAAACATTTGATTTCAAAGCAGAATATGTGGTCACTAAGTTGACCACCACAAGAAACCTTATCTTACCATCACTGGTAGTCTGACAGTGAGACTCTTAATCATTTGAAGAGTAACAATTCGAGTAGAAAATGTGCTAAGAAAATAGCAAGGATGCAAGACGCAATTCATTATTGTGCGTATCAATTTCACTTTTATTTCTTTAATTAAAAAAAGGAATAGATTTAGCAGCCAAATATCCTACATTTGTACATTACTTAAACATTCTGAAGTTGAAACAGCCTCTGCAGAGCCTAGCGCCCACCTGTGCAATGAGGCAATTTGAGCTGGACTTCAAACAACCGCAGAGGATGTCAACATTTGACCCATAATAATAGTTAGACTGTTCTTCAGAGACAATGTAACCTGTCAGTGATAGTTGGAGGTGGGGGGGACAGGTAAAATAGGATTTTTTTTTTTCCTTCACTCATATAATTTGAAGATTATACAATGTGGTTTTTAAAGGTCAGAATGAATTGCTAATTAAGTTGAGACATTTGAAATTAGCAAATAAAACTGCTCCTCAGAATAGTGGCTAAGGAGTAATTAATCATACAGGAGAAAAATGGCAACAAAGTAGAACCGCAGTAAAGTTAGTTTTTAAATAGTTGCCGTAGACCCCGCAGATGATGTTACTAAGAAACAGAAACGGTGAGATATTAACTCCCTTCCTTTCTGTTTAGGCTGTACCCTTTCAAAAAGACAGTGTTCAGAGTTTTTCTAGGAAGATACAAATCAAAGCAGATATCCATCCGAACAACCTCTCTTTAGGTATTCAGAAACATGTGGACTAGTTATGACTCTTCCCTCTATGTTTTACTCAACATGTTATCATAAGCATAACCTTAAACCCACTCTAATTAATTTTTACATATAAGTCACTGATAATGGTTGCATTTTAACTATCATAATACAAAATTACTTAATACACTCTTTAAAACCAGTGTTGACTGCCCCCACCCCCAACCTTGGAGAAGGCCTGCTTAAGAAAATATTTTGGTTTTGGCTTCTAGGTGCTTTTTGTTTCCTTAGGTGCTACATTTGCCACACTTGATTTTGAGTCCATGCTGGGGCTCTCAGAGTTTCCTTTTACATCAAGATATTTGTATATTAAATTTAAAGACAAATTTACCAACATGAATATTACAATGAAATATATAATTTGACATGCATATCTTAAACTAGAAAGCCAACTAAGGCAGCATTTATATAGAGATTTGTATTTTTAAGCACTTGACGTTTATTAATTAGCTAATCCACACCACAAACCTATGAGGTAGTTTAGCATGACTTTAGTATGAATAAACTAGGTAAGAAGCCAAAAAAAGAAAAAACAATCTGTCCCCATAGTAATATGTTGATCAAACCCTTCTCATTCTGGTCACAAAAGAACAACAATCAATTCTTTGTACAAGCTGGTCAAACAATCAATGAATATTTAGCTTGGATGGAATGTAGAGAGGGCGGTTATTTCTGACAGTATAGAAAGTTTGTTATTGGAGTTTGAATATGCTGTGCTCACAATGACTTGTCAGTAACAGCTGACTCAAAGATCAGCTTTGGAAGAGGTGTGGCCACAGCCCCTCCCTCCCACCCCAGGCTCAAGTTTGCCTCTGGGAGTATTAGCATTTTTCATCTGTCTCATATTCTTCTTCTCTTGGTCTGAACAGTCTAATTAACTCAATTCAGTAGAAAGGTATAAAGACTCTTGCAGTTCCTATTTATATTATATGTCATCTAAGAGGCAAATGAAAAACAAATCCTATATTGGTCTTTGTGCTCAAGCAATTGCAGATTAGAGTTTTATTACTATTTTTATCAGCAAAAGAGATCACTGTGGTCCTCTCTACTTAGCAGATTGTTTTATGATGGTATTTGTTAGTGCACTGGGCTGCGGAGTTGATATATAAAGAAAACTCATTAATTTGGGTTTCACTCCCATGGCATTCGTGGCCACTGGCGCTGGTGCTGGCCAGAAGCTTACCTCTTACTTGAAGAAGAAAAACTCTTTGAAAAGTTAAGCGAGTTGCATGACCAGGTCTGTAGGAGTATTTTGTCTGTATACGAAGACGCAGATGATTTCAACCACTTAGCAAGTATCCTTTTAAATACAAAGAAAAAAAAATATTCTAATAATAAGGATGCCATTAGGCTTCTGCTTATATTAATTTTGTGTCATTTTTCCCTCATTGGAGCAAAACTTCAAACGTCAGTAGTTGGTTACTTTAGTTGCCATGACTCCAAGTACTCTGGAACAGTGAAAATACTTTATATATTGATAATTTGGATAGTTTCTTTCAAATAGATAGGGTTCCCCCCTAGGTCCCTTGAACTGAGGTTTTATGGGAAATCCCAGGACTCATTCTTATCTCTCTGGGAGTCTCTGCTGTCATCAGGTGGCCCTGCCTGAGCAGCTCCACCACGGCCAGGTCCCATGGGTCTGTTCCTCTATGCCAGAATTAATTTGGCTATTTGAAAATACTTACCTTACATCTCACTTCCATCGGTTCCATAATGAATTGGAACATAAGACATGATCTAATTAAACAAATATAACCATACTAATACTACTATTGCTACTACTAATAAATAAGAACAGAACAAACAGCTAGCTTTCTGAGCAAAGGTGTCTCCATCTAAGACTTCCCCAAATATAAATAACATTCATTGGCTCCTCTTGTTTAAGACTTAATATGTCAACTCCGTGGTACATTGGAACAATCATTTCCCTTATTTATGCAAAAATAAAAAAAAGAAATTTGAAAACAAACAAGCAAAATCTCTGGCAGGATATTCACTTTCACTTGGCAGGTTGCCAAGGAGCAACGGTATTTAGATGAGGAATTCTGAAATGATCTGATTATTATACCTGGAAGCTTATCTGTAAAGGGTTTGGCATAGCCTCTCTGTAAAGCAAAAGAGATCTATGTTCACAGGCTCAACTATATCAGGTTATTAAAAAACGAAACAAAACAAAACACTTGAGAGTATGAGCTCACTCACTAAACACAAACAGAAACAAAGTTTTTTTGTGTTTGTGTTTGTTTTTGTTTTTTGGGTTTTTTTCATTTGTTTTTATACTTGGACAGTGCTTATTTTACAGCGGAATTGACAAATAAAGCATTATTTCACACATTGGAAGAAAAGTCATCGTTGCAGGTTTGTAGCTCTGTTGTGTGCTTTCCAAAACAGCAAGACAGATTGCTTGCCATCAAACCCCCCTTCCTTCCCACGGGACAGAACGTGGCTGGTGCAGCCACATCTCTCTGTCGGCGCAGAAGCTAGCAGCCCTGGTCCCTCCTGAGTGGGCCCCCTCAAGAGAGTGGTGCCAAATTCCAAACACCTTCATAACAACACTGTGCATTTCTAAGTCATTTCATTTATTGCTCACTGAGTTGTAACCACCTCAGCTCTCTGTGGAAAAACAAGGGACGTCCAGAAAATCCGGACACCAGGAGATCAATTGCCTGTGGTCACAATGTACAAAGGGCAACAGCAGGCAGAGCACTGAGAAACAGTGTGAAGAGGAGGTAAATGTCTGGCTCTGCACACACCAGATCCAATCACCGCGAAGACTTGAACCCAGAGAAAGCTTTACACTCAGAGGCATTCCCCATCAGAGAGGAACAGTTTTCCAGTCTGTCATACTGGCCAGTGGTGTTCTTTCCAAAGTGACTGAAACTTGGCTCAGCAAAAGGACTTCAGTGAGGAACAGGGGAATAGAGGGGACTCTCCATACCCAAGGCTGTCATTTCTTCAGAACTTACTCAGTTCTTCTCAAATCCTCAGCACCCCACATCAAAGCCCACAGTTCAGGCCAAATTCATAAGAAATATTCTTTTATTTCCCTCTCATTCGGGGGTTTACAATTCTTCTCTTGGATGCCTTTGGGAAAACATTTCATCAAGGTCAACTACTGTGAAGACATTTTTGCCTAAGAGGATCATCATGCAGGCAAACTAATTCTTTTCCTAAGCTATTATTTTGGCAGCTTGCAAAGAGGACTTGGCTTAACCTTGAGAAACTGTTCTTTGAGTGATCAGAAAAAAAGGATGGGCTTCTTCCTTTATTCACCCTCTTTATTCTTGTCATTCAGATGGCAAACTCGCTCACAATTCTGAAGATGAAATGAAGGAGTAGTATTTGTATCCATTATATATCTTCTACTGGTAGTGACTCGTTCTGGTTCCGTGCATGTTGCCACCAATCGTGTTCAGCATGATGAAAAAATAATGTGTATTTCTTGATAAAGGTGCTTTACATCTCAATCATCAAGGATTTAATGGAATAATTATATGTTGAAGAAATCTAGGATAAATTGAAAATTTAGATCTTCCCACTGTCTTTAAGTCTGAATGATGTTCTCACTGTTTGCTGTAGGATTATAATTTAGAATATGTGCTAAATAGATCATCAGGAAAGAATTAAAAAAATCCATCCAAATATCATAACTTACCACAAAATTAAAAGAAAGAAAGAAAGCTCATTCACTCTCCAAAACTAAGATTAGTCATATGTTAATCTGTGAATCCTCATAAGAAATGTTCATTGTTCAAAGAAGAATCCTCCTCTGGTGGTTGATAAGCAATTCTCCACGGAGAGAAATCCTGACATTTTTTTTCTCATCTCTTGATTGATGTTTTCACTACTTATTCTTCAGGCTATAAGACAGAAGGGAACACAGTCTTACCTTTTTTCATAATTACATATTCCAACCCTCCTCTCTCTTTCCTTCCCCCTCTCTCTCTTTCAGTCTCCCCCCACATCACTTTAGTCATCAAATTAAAGTAAAGCCAGGAGCGCCTGGGTGTCTCAGTCATTAAGCGTCTGTCTTTGGCTCAGGTCATGATCCCAGGGTCCTGGGATCGAGCCCCGCATCGGGCTCCCTGCTCAGCGGGAAGCCTGCTTCTCCCTCTCCCACTCCTCCTGCTTGTGTTCCCTCTCTCGCTGTGTCTTTCTCTGTCAAATACATAAATAAAATCTTTAAAAAAAAAAGTAAAGCTGAATTTATATGATGAATCTTTTACATTCTAAGTAACCTGTAAATATAATAACTCAATTATCAATGCCATCTCTATGTATGTACAAGAAAATATATGTCTCAATCCTGTCATACCAGACACTAAATTCATTCTGAAAGTTCTTAAGATGAAAATGACAAATTGGTTTTTATTTACGGTGGACTGCATATACCCATCCTTAAGTTTCAGATATAATGACTTGTAGAACCCTCTTGGTGGAAGGAAGAACAACATTATAGCATTTAGATTTCAGATTATTGTTATAAACAACATTCTCAATTCATTCAGAATTCTCCTTGTTAGAGAAATGGGAAAAATATTTTCTGGCTTTACTCTCAAAAAGTATTGATTAAAATTAAATAGGTAACTAATTCTTAAAGTTTTTGGTTTTGTTTTTCTTTAAGATAAGAAGATACTACCATTTATTGCATGCCTACTATGTGTCAAGAACTGCATATTATTTTACTTATAATTGAATCCCCACAACCACCTTTAATTTGGATGTCATTTCTTCCCATTTTAACGGTGAGAACACTGAGGCTTAAATTGGCTAAGTGAATGGCACATGTTCACACAGCTGCTTAGGGGTGGGGGCTGAGCCCTGGGAAAGATGAGAATCAAAAGGCTTGTTGACATTCCGTGCAGGGAATTTCTGCCACAGAATAGAACATGTCCTCTAGCTGCATGTGAGGCTACCAAAACAGTCTCAGCTCATAGTCGACAATTATCCTTAAAGCTATATTTTTAGAAGGGGGGGGAAGCAAAAGTGCAGGAGCAGGTTAGAATCCTCACATAGATTCTCCTATCCTTCGTCACTAAGAGCTAAATATCGTAGTGGAAATCTGGTAAATGAAAGTTCACAAGCTACAAAGGAAAACTCTGTCACTCACCTAGAAGCACACAGCATATCTTAAAATTTTATTTTCCAAAATAAGTGCTGTCACAGAATATTCTTAGGATGCAGATAAGAGTTTGACTGTTGTATAATGCAGACCAAAAGAAAATGGAAACTATATGCATTTCTAGGTTAAAAAGAATTGCTTTGGAATTTTGCCTTTGGATGACCCTGATAAGCACAGCCACTTTTAAATGGTTGTTATAAAAAGAAAAATCCTGTTTTGGAATCCCATATTCGGTTTCTGATCCATCCGGTCATGACCTGAGGAAATTCTACAGTCCTTGTTATTTTCGTGTGTTAATGTGACATAAAGGTTGAAAGTTCTCAAGAAGCAAACAAGTATAATCTTATTTTTATAAATTGCAAAGATCAACACTTTTCAAATTAAAGTGAGTTTAAAGTGTCATATCTCCTTGTAGCAGTGACAGGACCAAACACACACGCAGCTGAGCAGTCTTCAGTTATGATTACATCATTAGAGGAAACTAAACGAGGTTTGTTTTTTCTTTAACTTATAGTAAAAGTGGTATATTAAGAACTTAATCCCATAATGAGCAAAAATATCACACTCGTCCTTTTTATAGTCAGAATGATTATTCAGATCCTTTCTGAACACAGAAGTAATGACAAATTAAAATGACTTTCAATTCCATATAGCTTTTATAATTATTCATCCGTTACTCTTATTATTGCTGAAAAGGCTCCTTCATATTTTAGTCAGCATCCCATTTGATACAAAAGAACATGGAAAATTTTACTGCTATTAATAAATATGCAGCCATCCAATCCAAGAAGAAAATTCTTTTTCATCTGAGAGATAAGCTGCATAATTCATGTATTTTCAGAAATTTCTTTAAATAGAAAATTGAAGAAAGGCATAGGGAAAAAAGAATTCATTATACAGTTTCCATTTGTGGTGAGGGACAGTCTCTGTTCTCAGAGTCTGAAATTTAATTCAATTTGAAGAGACTTTCAACTGCATTATATATGTACAAACACCCTCATAGAGCTCACTTTATTTTTGACATATATCATCATAAAAATGATACAACATAGCTGCCACTTCACTTAAAATAAATGTTACTGAAGATCACTAGGTACTTTTCTTTGGGTCTTGAAATGCAGTTAGAAAAACTTACAGCAATTTGGAAGGGGTACCTTCCGTTTTCCAAAGAGAGAAATGTCCATGTCCATGAACTAGGGGGCTCCCTGTGACTGTGAGCTCCAGCCCCTGTAGGAGCTCTTCCCAGACAGAGACTTAATGGCCTTGCAGGGTAGGTCTGCATTCCGAGACCGCAAGCTGAATGAGAAGCACATTTGCAGGACCAGTTAAGTTAAAAGGCTTCTCTTCGTACTAGCTGTCCTTTTGCCCATTCAGACCTGGAAGTTTCAGAGAGGGTGGTGCTCCAAACTGGGCATGAGGTATAGTCTTATGTACACTGGTAAGGACTTCTTCTTCTTCTTTTTTTTTTTTTGTAATTGAAGTACAGCTGACACACAGTGTTACGTTAGTTTCAGGTGTACAACCTAGGGATTCAACAACTCTACACATGCTGTGCTCACCACAAGTGTAGCTGCCATCTGTCACCATACAAGACTATTATGACACCATTGACTAGATTCACTACGCTCTACCTTTCATCCCTGTGACTTATTCATTCCATACCTGGAAGCCTGTACCTCCCACTCCCCGTCATCCATTTTGCACATCCCCCCACCATCCTCCCTTCTGGCAACCACCAGTTTGTTCTATTTATGGCTCTGTTTCTGCTTTAAAAAAAAATTATTTGTTTGTTTTTTAGATTCCACATATAAATGAAATCATATGGTATTTGTCTTTTTCTTTCAGACTTATTTCACTTAGCAATACCTTCTAGGTCTACCTATATTGTCACAAATGGCAAGATCTCATTCTTTTTACCTAAAAAGGAGTCTTCATAACCAAGATTGAACTGTTTTCACCATGGAAAATCACCAGAAATGTATGCAGTCTTCCTGAGATGTTATCAAGGTTGGGGGGAAGGGTGGGGAATATGTTTTGACCAGTGTGTTTGGAGATGGCTGCTGGAGAAAAATTGATGTGTTTGTCCCGCACTGAATTTAAACTGTTCAATAAGCCAATTAAAAAACAAAGCAGGATATCCTCAGCCGTGATGAAACCTGGTGTCTGAAACCCAGAGAGCAAGTTAACAGGGACATGAGAAACGAAATCATGGACCATGGCTTCTATGAAATAATGTGGCCAGAATGTGTTAGGTTTGTTGGATGAGGAGCTATGTTCTAGACACTTTTCACACACATGCTGCTGAACAGTCATGACTTCAAATGTGTTCAATCTACTGCCGGACATGTGTGATATCCAAGGACTTGTCATCTTTGCTCAGTTTATTACCATAGGACACAGATAACCCAAATTAAACTAGATTTCCCAAATCAAGCTTCTAATTTCTATTCTTTCTTTTCCTGCATTACCTAACCCAACAAATAAGAGCTCAAGGCAGAAATTCAGTGTTTTCCCAGGCTTGTTTCTTTTTCTCCTCCATCCCATAACCAGCCAGCCACAAGTCTTATTGGCCTCCTATTTCATTCTGAAATGAGTCATGTCCTCTGCACCCCAGGCCCATGCCCGATTCCAGGCCCTTGACATGCCACTTGGCTTCTCTCTGGCATCTTTGCAACCAGCTCTGCTGCATCATCACACTGGTATTGTAGTGCTTCACTGGGTTCCCACCACCTACTGGAAAAAAATGTAATACACAAAGGTAATTTGTGATGAGACCACCGTCTTCTCCTCCAGCTCCATCTTTTTGTCAGTGATCCCTGTATCACACTTAACTCCCATCACAGAGAGTTACTTGAGGTTGTTGAAACTGCCATGCTCCCATGTGCTTCTACAGTTTGCACAGGCTCATCCTTCACCCCTGGGCTTCTCCAGCTTTTCCCAGTCCTCTTAGCAGAAGCATGCTTCCTTAAAATATCCTTTCCTGAACTTACCTGGACCCAACCAAATGCATTTGGAATGTTGAGCAGCCACTAGGGAATAGAGAACAAAACCTCAAGAAAATGCTCAAGCCACAGCAAGTGATCAGTAAACTGCTATGCTTCAGACAGGGGTGCAATGCGTCTTGCTTCTGAGAATGGTGAAAGGCAGGGGAATGAGGGGGGCTGGAGAAGAAAGAGAGAAAAAATGTGGGAGAAAAGATGAAATGTGGAGAGAATGGAACCTGGAAAATGGATTTGTTCTGTGCATGGTGCTACCTCTGGATGATGCCCTAATCTTTGAAATTCGTCTAGACAAATAAAATACTTGCAAAATGTTAATTGTTAGTGGAAGTTGATGCAGTCTGAGTGATGTGGGGTGGAGGTGGAGGGGAGAAGCACTCAAATGCGCAGGGGAGAAAGATGTAGAAAGACCACAAGACACTGGGAGTTAAAAGCAAAGGCAGGACTTTGGATCTTAACAGATTGCTGTAAACTTTGTTGGGTAGTCCCACGCCAAACCAAGAGGACTGAAAGTGGGGTGGAGTTCAGCCAGCACCGCTAACATACAGGTAGCGCAAGATGAATTTCTCCAAATCCTTCTGGGAAAAACAAATCCTATATATTTATAACCCACTGAATAAAGAAATCATTTAAGAAAATTCAAGCTAATTCAGAGAAAAGTCAGATATTATGAACATCCAAGAAGCTGTGAATATTCAAAAGTACAGAATATTTAAAATGAATGCAAGTCCATCACTTC